TTATACAAATACACAATAATCAAAAGTATATACAAGAATATATGCATACAAAAAACACTAATTTAGAACAAACTAAGGTGGCAGTAACAGCAGCAGTAATGCACACAAACCATTACCATCGCCTTTAAAAAAAGAACACTTGCTCATTCTCCTCCATGAGCTTGTTTTTTTTTTGTATCTAAGACATTTTTTTTAAAAAAAAGTAAATTAGTAAGTGAACTATATACAACTAGAATGAGTTGCAACAATCACAACTGCTTTCACCATTTAAATAAATAACTAGAGTGACGACAACCACCATTCTTAAAACACTTACCCAGTGACATCTTTCCAATTATTTTCTTGCTCGTTTGCTCGGTTTCTTTGATTAAATTTTCTTTCATTATTATTTTACAAAGAACTAGAGTAACGACGAGTGGCGGGCGATAACCACCAACATCCTTATTCTTAAAATGCTTACCCTCGATCTTCGGCAATTCCTCTTCGTTTGCTTCTTTTATTGTTATTGCTTTTATTTGACATTTTAATAAATTAAATAAAAAGAAGTTTGTGATTTGATCGACGCGCACACATTAATTATTTATCCTATTGGTTTTTTTTTTGGTAGGACAGACGCGAATTGATTGATTTTTTTTTTTTGGAAAACAAAAACAATTTATTTTTGACAGAGTCCAAGGTGACAAAACGTGAGTGTTGTTGTTTGGTTTGGTTTGGGTCTCCTAAAGAAACGTGTTAATAACTAACCAGAGGTACTATTTTTTATTTGCATTGATATAATGTGGTGTCTTTTATCTTAGCTTATAAATATTTTAATTGGAATCAAAACGCGGAACAGATCTTGCTAGGTAATTACAAGATTTTCATTGATAATATTAATATTTGCTTTTCGTAGTCAATATTAATATTAATATATAATTTAACTACAAGATGTCAAGGCAATACACCATTGAATATGAAACATTTTGATATGCGAAGTTTGATTATTGGAAATTGGCAAGTGTTGAAACACGCACGCTACCTTGAACACTTACAGCCATTCTCTCATCTTCCTTGTGTACAAGGCTAATCTGACATGCGCCCCGATGATACAATGATGCAACTGAATTCCAGGGGGCAGCATGGCCCTGGAGTTCACCGAGACTGCATCAATCGTCAATGACACTTTTCACTAATCTTCCCAGACCAGATAAGGCCGCTGGCATGCTGGCCGAAAAGTTGCTTGCAACGATCCTACTCTAGGGTAAGGGTGGCTCTGTGTCCAAGTTGCAACTCTGCAGATGAATTGTAATATTAGGTGCGCATAAACATCCAGATCCATCAAAGCAACGAGAATCTGCAGCTTGTTTCAAGCACCAGGAGGTTACAATTCAGAGCAGGGTTTGTGGCCCTGAAATTGCATTTGGAGTCTGATGTTAAGAGGAAAGTTGTAAAATAGTGTCTGTTTTGTATAATCACTTTCATAAATTCTCTGTTTCTCTGATACTAACCAATTTATAATTTTTGCCCAATCAGTTCCCTGTCCTGTAGATTAAAATTATCACATGATTATATACATCTTTGTCAGCAATATGGCCAATGAGAAAAAGTCATAAAATGGTTTGGATTTTGGTATGTTATAAATTAATCATTTCCATAAATTTTCTACTTTTCTTTAATTTTTGTTTGACCAACTGAACTTGTTATTTAAATCAACTTTATTCTAGTGAGAGAGGGTGATAACACAAAGCAAGCACCAGCTATCAGTGATTAATGCCCATATGGTAACAGCCAAGTCTGGTCTGAGAGGAAGATAAGGGAAAGTTTTGTCCAAAGCCTTCCAACATGAAGACTTTTTCTTACGATTCTTATTATTATGATACTTGTGTTTTCTTTAAAAGGAAATGATTACCGAAAATTTTTTGTTAATAAAATCGTACACCTTTAATCCTTTGATAAACTTTTTTTTACTAATAATTTTAAAAAAAAACTCTCTGTCAGGCTATTCTTTGAATCACAGAAAAAAACTATGGAAATTTTTTTACTCTAGATTGTTTGGTTATTGAGCCTATACGTTTCAAAGTTTAACAGTATTTTTTAACATTTTGGATGATTTTACTAATAAAATTTAAAAAACTCTCTGTCGCCATGTGGACCATTACATTTGTTATAATATCTCTTAATTTTATAGTTGTATCTTTTTTTTGAATGAGAAGATGCAATTTTTATTTTTATAATTGTTGATGTTAATTAGTTTTGATCTACATGGTCCCATATATACGACATACGTGTGTTGTAAAAAAGTTTTGAGAAAATACAACTTCAAGAAACTTCCACCCTTGAAAACATTGCAAAAGTTGATGATTTAATTAGTTTACATAATGAATTAAAATTTGTAAAAAACGGTCCCACATGTTGATAATTTTTAAAATTCAATATCTCAATAACTAACTGGTAAAAGAAAGTAAACTTTTTTTATTTGAAAGATGAGAAGAATGTTACTTATATAAAAGAATTTCAAATTTATCACACTTAAAATCATCAAGTTATGTACCTTATGACAAAAAATTTCCAGTTGTTTTTTGTTGTTAATCTTTAAAATTTAATATCTCAATAATTAGCAACCAAAAAAATATTTGCCTTTTTTATTTGAAAGATGGGAACTCTGTCTTTGATTTAAAAAAATTTTCAAATAAATTGCAAATTTATAAAGTTACATGCATTTTCTCAAAACTTTTTTGTACAACCCACGTAGTGTTAACAATGGTTTGCATAGAAAATTTTCACAATAGTAATTAATTCGTCACCCATAATTAATTACATAATTACGTATTTAAAGAGTAAAAGTGGTAATTAATTACGTTAATTATGAATTACATATTTACGGTAATTAGCTAATTACCATCTCATGTATATCATTGTCATTATCCAACAAACCACTAATAATTATAACTTTAACTGCCACATTGAATCAATCAGAATCATCTCAAAATGTTTAGTTAAACTACTACACAAGATCCAAATCCAAATCCTAATAGTACACCAAGTGATATTGCTTCTGAGAATGCTAATGCTAATGCTAATAATGATGATAGCAGTTTAACAACTAAAACTATAGTAAGATCTTTCCTATAATTATTATGGTAGATGCTACTATAGGTATATGGGAATATAAAAAATCAAATAACAATTTATTGATAGATGAAGATAAAGTTGTGTTAAGGATAGCCAAGGGTGATCCATTTAAAAATACACTGATCAATATCATGTGGGGGCATGCCACAACAAAACCAGACAGAGTGAACATTCATGTCACAAAGATCGAAATTGTTTAACACTACAATTTTACTACCAATATAAATGAATGCTTTTGTTTCTTCCCACTTATTACTTAACTGATTGATACACAGGATTATCACCATGTAAAGAAAAACATTGTTTAAAACAAATTATAAATGTTACACATTCAAGTCCTGCATTATGTTTGAGCACCATGAGTTCAGGTAAAGAACCTACAAATCTTTCAATAATCATTGTTAAATGCAAATTTTATTCTATTAAAAAAGTAAATAATAAATAAATATTCATATTTTCATTAACAATTTAATGGTGAATTTTTTTTGTGAAGGCTGTTGATTGGGCTCTTGATTTTTTTTTAACTCACAAAAACCAACTCTATGACATAAATCAAAAATTTGATGAAATAATCAATCAACAATCTCAAATGATGAAGTTCAATATTTTAACAGGATGGTTTGGTGGTTGAGGCCCAGAATTTTGTACTTAATTAGTAGTTAGAGAACCTAGTACTAGGGATCAACAGTCTCAAGGTTCATCCTATATGTTTATCCTTGTGTTGGCTGGTTTTGTTACAGCATGCCAATATAAGTTAAGCATTATAATTGTCAGCATCACACACACACATTTATTATTTAAAACTTTTTTTAATTCACTTCATTACAAACTTTTTTTTAAATAATTGAGTGGGATGGGGGATAAAATAATATATATATATCTAATATTCAATATAAATGTTTGCTAATATAAATGTTATTGACTTTGAAATTTAATTTCTGTGAGTTAATTTAACCTTCAATTCAATGCATTGACTATCACTAAGAATTTGCATAAACAAAGGTTTATCACTTACCAATTCAAATTTATATTTTTTGTATAATAAAGCAACCATTAATTTAACTTGATTCATTGCCAGATTTCTTCCTGGGCATATACGTAATCCACCACCAAAATGTAAAAATGTATTTTTAATAAAGGAATCTTCATCAATTCCATTATTATTGTCATGATTTTTATTTTTTAAGAATCTTGAAGGATTAAATTTGGTTGGCTCATTCCAATAATTTGGATTCATGTGTAAACTTTGAACATTTATTGATATTAGAGTTGAACCTGGGATTTTGTAATCACCTATTTGATCAAAATTTGCTGACTCACGATTAATTGCTGTTGCAAGAGGGTTCATACGTAAAACTAAAATATAGATAAATTCATCATGTGAAACAAATTATAAAAATAAAATTTATAAATAATAATAAAAATACAATTATGAATTAATACCTTCTTTTATTACAGCTTCAATGTATTCAAATTTTTTTAAATCTTCATAATCTAAATTAGATTTATCTCCAAATACTTTTTTAATTTCTTTAAGAATGTTTTCTTCAACTTCAGGATAACTAGTTGCATAATATATAAGACATGATAAAGCTGTAGATGACTTTTTTTTCAATGGAAATTTTGGTTATTAATTTAATTAATTACATTTAATATATATATAAATAAATATAAATATACATACAGTTTGAATTCCCCCACCAAATGTTTCACTAAGAACATCATTAATTTCATCATCAGTCATTGGTTTATCATTAAAATCATTTGCAATGCCTTGAGTAATATCTTTTGGAGTATTAATAGTTAATAACATATTCAACATATCAGGTGTCAGGTTTTCTTTATCACTAATATTTTCAATTTTATCCCTACGTTCATTGATTAAATTGTTAATATATTCTTTTCTTGATGAATATTTGTTTAATAAATAATCTGAATAAATCTTTATCAATGGCAAATTACGTATATATGAAGGAACCATTGCATAATATCTCATACAAACTAGTGCATCTTTTGAACCATCTAAATATTCATCCTCAGCAGTTTTAATTATGTTGGAATCTTTTTTACTGGTTTTATAATAATTCAATAATATATTAGATGGTCTGTTTGTTGTTAATAACATTATATTTTCAGTGAAAGTTCTTTTAATCCAAGGCACGATATCAATTTCCAATACTTTTTTTTGATGAATTTCTTGATTTATAATAGATTCTCCCATTTCATCAATTAAAGAATCCCAATAAATTTCTAAGTCTTTAAAAACACAATTTACAATATTAGCTGAAAACTTTAATACATTTGGGGCCATTATAGCTTTAGTGAGCATTTTTCTATTATCGGCCCATTTGTTAATGTCTCTATTCAGAACAATTCCCTTGGTGCTTTTTCCCATTGCATCTAGTCCTTCATTAGGTGGAAAACGTAACATGTAATTATTATTTCTCACTGGCTTCATGATATGTTCAATGATTTGTAGATTGTTAGTGATCAATTGTCTTTTAGATCCACTGTAAATTTCAACCACATCACCATATTTTAAATGTAATGAGTGAAACCATAATGGATTGTTAAAACGATGATAAAAGAGTTGATGTAAATTTCCTAATAATGGTAAAGGAAAAGGCCCTTTATAAGGATTTGGACGAGTAAAATAATTGTAATAATATTTTAATGATGAAAAAATTATTGTTATAAATAATATTGTTGCAGATGCTGAAATGATTTCTTTTAATGAAAACATTTTTTAAAAATTTTCTAAATCAAAAAAAAAAAAAATTCGTGAGTAAATTCATTTTATAAGTAAATGAGTTGAATTTTTTTTATTAATATGTAAATTTAAATTTAATTCGAAAACATGTAATGTATGAACCGTTGTATGTGAAATTGAAATTGAATGAGTCAAGGAGCTTATACAGATCAAATCACACAAAAAAGCCTCTTTTTACCATATAGACATTTTAAAGCAGTTTTACAAATTCGGAATATTAATTATTGAAATCGCAATTAAGGGTAGGCTCCATGTGTAACATATATAACGCGGGTGTAGATCCTTATTATCCCTATTTTTGTCCACTAAACAATTTCCATTTATAGAAACAAGGTTTAAGGAACAAGGGATAAAAAAATCTATTGATTTTATTTAAAAAAAAGTCATAAAAGTTTTTGTTCGCAAATACTTGAAAAATTTTTTTTGCAATAAAATTCTGTAGATAAATAGTTGTGGCAGAATGAGTAGAATGCAAAATAGATGAGCAATCAAAAAATTTTTTTTACTTAAAACTTTTTTAAGAGAGTATAAAAAGTACAAAAAATGGTTTCATTATATAAATAACATATTTAATTAATTAATGAGTTTTTTTCGCAAATTTTGTTTCTGGTTAAAAGTGTGTAACATATATAACGCGGGTGTAGATCCTTATTATCCCTATTTTTGTCCACTAAACAATTTCCATTTATAGAAACAAGGTTTAAGGAACAAGGGATAAAAAAATCTATTGATTTTATTTAAAAAAAAGTCATAAAAGTTTTTGTTCGCAAATACTTGAAAAATTTTTTTTGCAATAAAATTCTGTAGATAAATAGTTGTGGCAGAATGAGTAGAATGCAAAATAGATGAGCAATCAAAAAATTTTTTTTACTTAAAACTTTTTTAAGAGAGTATAAAAAGTACAAAAAATGGTTTCATTATATAAATAACATATTTAATTAATTAATGAGTTTTTTTCGCAAATTTTGTTTCTGGTTAAAAGACTTGTACTAGTCACACAAGTTTTTTAAATTCTTAAAATTAAAATCCCGCGATTGGTACTAATTAACATATGTGTAACTTTATTGCATGGAGCCTACCCTTAAAAATTTTAATTCAATTTATTTAGTCCTAGTTAGAAGAAAATAAGTGTGAAGAAAAGAAACGCTTCTGACCTAGTGTATAATAACCAATATTTAAGCTAGACTTTTCTTTTTAACTGTTGTTAAAGTCCCAATCTGGCTCTAAAAAATTTATTATGGTTGAAAATCGCTTGCTATATGAAAAACGGAGATTATAATTTGTTCGTGTAACGTTTATATTGAATGACTAATAACGGATTAAAAGTTTGGTCCCGATTTTTTACTAGTTGAAATCTCTTTCTATAACGTATATTATTAATATTAATATTAATTAAACTTTTTACGTATAGCAGATTGTATCTAAAAATCACTTCATATGACTTACATATAAATCAACACCGCCTATAACGGATTCACGTGAACTGAAATTTTTTCTCACGCCTCCGTATAATTAAAACCATAATGCATATCAACACACACATAAAAACGTAGTAATAGTAATTTTTATTCCTAAAAGTTTATATTTATTCTAGTATATATTATGGATATTATTTATAACAAATCATAAGAGCTTTAATAAAAAAATGGTTTTTGATAATAATAAAAAGAATAAAAGATAATGACCGACATATTTATATTAAATATAAAAAAACTAAGCTTTAGGCATAAATTTATTGTTTAAAAGGTTTTTCATAATAAAAACCCATATTATATACAGTTCACTCTCTCTATAACGAACCCTCTGTCCCTATATGTAATTTCTCTGCTTTTGGTCGTTATAGAGAGAGTTTATTAAGATGGTCGTTATAGAGAGAGAAATTAATTATAAAAAAATTGAAACGGGGACAAAAGGGAAGTTCGTTATAGAGAAATTTTACTTAGTGGTCGTTATAGAGAGGGTCGTTATAGAGAGAGTAGACTGTATATATATGTTTGGTACAAAACAAAAACAAAAAAATAAATTTCTCTATGCTTTTTAATATTTCAATTTTATATGTAAAATCCTTGGAATCTGGCGATGCCCAATATAAAAGTTAGAAAAAACAAATCTTTAAGATTTACTTTATGTACCAAATAAAAAAAAAGTTATGAAAAAAAAAATTTTTTTTTGCAGTGTAATGTATGTCAATTGAGCAGATTTTCGTTCAATTTTAAAATTTTTAAAATATTACACACATCGGATTTTTAAAAAACCCACCACCATTCAATTCAGCTTTAAAAGGGGAGTTTATTATAGTGTTTGTATTCTAGGGTTTCTATTCGTAATACAAATTCTTATTCGAATTATTCGTAATACAGTTGACCTTTAAAAAATTTATTCGAATTAAAAGTTTAATTCGAATTAATATTAATATTAAAAATTTAATTCAACATTTATTTTTTTGTTTTACTTTGATATATAATAATTATTTGTTTTTATCCTAAATATTATAAATTTTCCAAATTATAAAAAATCCACTAAGAAATTAAAATCAAATTTCAAAATAATAACTTAGAATTTTCAATAATATTTCATTGGAAAAAAGTTATCAATCTATTAACTGCCAATACAACTTCTTCTTCTTCATATTGGTTGTAAAATGTAATTCAGTTATCACCCGGGAGATAACTCTCTTATCCCCCACGTCCGGTTGATAAATAGCTAGCAAAATTCTCCGAATCTTGCTGTTACCTCCCACTTCATGGGGAATAACTATTATTTCTTTGCCTTTTAACTCTATTATAACTATAACTTCATCACTAGCTTCGTATGTCTTAATAGAATGACATTGCGACCTTCAAACTATCCATAAGAATGGTCTCACTATTCTTAAAATTTTTAACTGGAGTGACGACAAGTGGCGATAACCACACCATTCTTATGATAAGCACTTGCCCAGAAACCGCATCCAATGCATTTTTTGCCATTATTACCGGAAGACATTTTAAGAAATAATAAAATTGTTATTTGATCGACAAATGTGTACAGTCAAAGCTCTCTATAACGAACCTCCAAAAACCGAACTGCTCTCTATAATGAACTAAGGTGTTGGTCCCGATTTTTTGTTTGTTAATTTTACTTTGTATAACGAGCTTTATAATTAAATTCTCTATTCTATATAACGAGCTGTTTTTGAGAAATCATATGACAAATTTACATTCAAACTTTAATGTAACATCATTATTGACAAAAAAAACTTTTTTCCCATCAAAATTTATTATTGTTATTTGATACAAAGTATATTATACCGACTTCTTTCTTTAACTATAACGAAAACAAAATTAATATTAACATTATACAAGCGATAAGAATACAATTGACTGATTGCTTACACACTACGTCTCTTTTGTTAAATCATTAATGAAAATAAAGAAAATAAATACCAATTTTTGTTAAATATATAAAATATCCGTGTGCATTTTTTTTTTAAAAAAAAAGATATTTTAAAATTCAACCAAATGTCAACTAAAAGAAGAACTACTTTGACAGCTTTACAAAAGAAAGAGTTATGTTTGTTGAAACAAAGGGATCCGAATATTTCTAACGTTGAACTTGCAGATATATATAATGTTGGAAAATCTACAGTAACTGAGATTTTAAAAGAAAAAGATAAATGTGCAATTTTCATAATTATATTACGATCACATGACTATAAATGTGATGATTGATCGACACTTTCTTTATAGTGAACGCTCTCTATAACGAACAAAAATTCTCGGGACAGGGGGTTCGTTATAGAGAGCTTTGACTGTACAATCCACGCAGATCCGTTATAGAGAAAATCTGGTATAGAAAATTGCACTACATTAAGTCATGTGGAATAAAAAAAATTTTTGTTATTACATAAAAAAAATTATTCAATACTAATGATCCCGTCTGTAAATAGTTTGGCCATTCTGTAATATGACAACTTTTCAAGTATGCAATTGTCAGAAAATCTGTAATATGTAAATGTATCTGTAATTCTGCAATCCTGTAATATGTAAATGTACCTGTAATTCTGCAATTCTGTAATATGTAAATGTATCTGTAATTCTGTAATTTTGTAATTCTGTAATTCTGTAATAAATATGTTATTTAATTGAAAATTATAATCAAATCAAAATTTTTTGCAGTTTACACAAATGAAATCATAAACTTTATTCATAAAGCTTTTTAAATTTAAAAAATTATAAAAAATATATATGATTATACATTGTAATAATCTTCAAAACCCATTGATTCATGAGCTACTTCTATGGGATCATAATCATCACCTCCAGTCTCTTCATCAAAAAATCCACCATCTAATTCTTCTATTATATTGTTTTTGTTAAACATTTCAAAAACACAAGAATTAAATTCAATCACAACTTGTACATCTAATTCACAATCTGGAATATTTGATTCTTCTGTTGTGATACTAATTTCATTCTCAACTACATCATTCTCATCATCGCCCTCTTCTTCTTCCCTTTCTTCTTCTTCTTCCATAGATTTATTTAATAAATCTTGAATTTCATCTTGTGTTATTTCTACCTTATTTCTCTTCAAATGATTAGTAGTTTGTGCAACTTCTGATATATTATATCTATAAACTTTAGCCAGACTTTCAAGTTGTGGATTGACAAATTTTGCCATTTCTTACCATACAGCATTTGCTAAAT